GTGTCAGAACAGCCCCCAAGGTGGAGCTAGGAACAGCCTTCTTCTGCCCCAGATACCTGCACATATCATTGAATCCCCAAAGCTTTTTCCCCCGCACTGCATTAAATTATATCATATCAAGACTAATATCAAATGGGATAAATAGAAGCCCCAGGTCTCCATCAAAGCCCTGGTTCATCAGGCACAGCCAGACACTGGATCTGTTTTGGCCCAGCTGAGGCAGACAGACACATGTACGTGCACTTGCCCAAGGATAGGGCTGGGGCTGGAAGGGGCCCTCTGTCACTTCAGTGTGTCCCTTCCTATTCGGCCAGGCACCTCACGAGCCCCTGCTGCCCACATATTCCCAAGCTTGAGCCATTCAGTAAGGGGCATGCCCTCTTAGTCCAGCTCCAAGTGAGTTTGCATTTCTTTGTCCAGCACGAAGACTTGGGATGAATGAATGACACTGGGAAAACCTCAGGAGAATTGGCAGGGATTGCTAACAAGCAGGCCTATCTGGTGTGTAGGATGAAACTATTTTCTTTTTTTAATTAAATTTTATTTTTCAAACACAGTTTACGGTCAATATTTTGCAGTAGTCTTAGGTGTACAGAACAGCGGCTAGACAATCATTTACTTTCCAAAATGGCACCTGATATTTCCAGTACCCACCTGGCAACCATACATAGTCATTGCAATATTATTGACAAAATGGTCATGGGGATGTAAAGTACAGCATAGGGAAACTATTTTTTTCTTTAGAATTCTGCAGACTCAGAATCTCCCCCTGGCAACACCTTGTATTCTGCATGTCTTTGGAAAAGAGTCTCTAAGGAAGTATATAAATGGGGGGAGAATTTGCTTCTAGCAACATGTTTGCTATGAAGAGAAAGCCCACGGGGACAGGGTGGAGAGATTGCTAAGGCTAAAATTGTGCAGAGCGAGACAGAAAGTAAAGAAGCCTTAGAAGGAAAAGGACAGTGCAGCTTGGATTCATGACTTGGGTTCTGACCTGCTCTTCTTTCTTGGGTCCATTGAAATGGCCACTGTGGTGGGGCCCCAACCCCAGGGTTGGGTATCTAGCCTTCTGAGAGGCCTGTGTTGGTCCTATTGTTGGCTGTACTTGGGCAGGAAGCGTGAGTCTCTGTTAAGGTAGACGCTGGTCCACTGCCTTGCTGATGAGTGATGGAGCACACCCCACCTTAGGCCGAGGGGAGACCCTGGAGCGTTTCTTATCACCTTCTGTACCCCAAGTGGTGGACTATCGATTCCAGCCCCAGTGGTTGTGAAGTGGATGTTGTAGAATTGATGTTCCACACGGGGCTGTGACACAGACAGAGCCCTACAAATAGAGCCAGGCTCTCAGGGGTGACCGTCAGTGGTGAGGTGATCGAGGAGTGTGGGCATGTCCCAGCAAACACATCCCCTGGCAGCACATGCGCCCCCTGCAGGAAGTCACACTGGCTCACACGGCATATTGAAAGGGAATCGCACATGTATCGGGCACTTAATACGATAGGTTGTTTCATTGGTATTTCTTTGAGTCCCAGAAGGTTAAATTGGGTTACTACATGGGTTCACTGCGGTTTTCAGCCTATTGCCTGTGGGGCCCTTGGTCTCGAATGTCTTTGGCCAACCTTCCTGGTCTGCAATGGCCCCTGTTCCGTCAGCTGACTTTCTCCACACCTTTACCTCTCCCGTGTTCGACACTGTGAAACTGTCACATTTGATCCCTCTTATAATTAATATCAGGAGCAATGTCAGCTCCTGTAATAGAAAGCTCGCTCTGGCTCTCAGACTGTGCCTTTCAGCTCGTGCCGCTGGGGCTGTGAGCAATAAAGCAGAAAGGACCCGTAGCTTCTCATTGCTCCCCCACACGGGGCTCCCTGCCAGCACACTGAATCTGCACCAGCATTTCATCTGAACAAAGCCCTGTCCAGTGCTACACGTAGCTTTAGTTAACATCGCTGTGGAAGCATAGCTTTCTACTTTTAAATCTGGACTGGGCAGGGAACAGGACATTTACATAACAAGCCCGCATTCGCCCTTAACAGATCTAAATCTCTGCTATTGAAGGACCAGGGGGTCAATGAAGGAACAGGGAGGTTGGGTGCCATGCTGCTACCAAGCCACTAACAAAGTCCCAGAGGTCTCAGCTTCCAGTCCCACCACCAGGTTCGAGCAAACCGCCCACTCCTGTGCAACAGAAGGAAACATGTGATTCCCTGCAAGTGCCTGTGGGTTCCAGATTGTGCTTCCCAGTGGAGAGCAAGGCTGGGACCCCTCCAAACAGATAGATCCTGTCCAGTTTTCATAGAATTTCTTTTCAGACCACAGACATTCCAGTGAAGCTGTGGTGCTCTGTACAAACCAGCTACACGGGACTCCTCCCTCAACTCAATAGCAAATGCAAATGCCTTTACGGGCCAGGAACGTGTATCACCTCGTCAGGTGGTTGGGTCAGGCTAAAGGCATGCTGTGAGGATGGGGACTTTATCCAATGTCCACTGCTTATCCCAGCACCTAGAACAGAGCCTGCACACCATGGGCCCCCAATAAAGTATGTAGGATGAATGGGAGGGTGTGTAGAAAACCAGGAAGTGCATGTCTCAGATGGCATCCTTACCAAAAGAACATGCCTCTGGGCAATAGTTGACTTCCTCTTGCAGTTCCTATGGGTGAATAAACAAGGCCATTTATGGATGGAATGGAACGATGACGCCCAAGCAACACTGATGTCTAACCTATTGCTTTGATAGTGTATGTTCAGCTCGACCCAGGATACGGGTGACTGTTGTTACTCAAGCACCTCGTAAGTCCATTCCATTAATAACCTTGGCTTGTTAATGACCCTGGGCTAATTGGAGATTGATATAAATGGTCACACTTTTCCTTCCATCATGCTGTGGTCTCACTTTTTTTCCTGAATCTCTTAATCACATGCCTTTCTTTTCAAAAGATGTACAAGATGCACCTCTTCTACCAAATGAGGGGCAAATTTTCTAAAGTCATGCTTTGTTTATGAAGAGAAGGGTAACAAATCTTCTTTCATACCTACAGTGTTGCCTTTTCTAAAATGGACTTAAGCAAATAGTGGCAACTGCTTCACGCCAAAATCATTTGGAGACCAATTCATCTCCAAAATCTGCCACATTGAGATCCAGGGCACTGGATAGTGGGGCACAGCCTCTGCAGGCTTTTCTGAAGGTGACAAGTAGGCCCTGGCTGGTCCTTTGGACACTGCCTTTATTCTTATGGGTCTAGGTCCCTTTTCTTTCATCCCCTTCTCCTGACTCCCCAGACCCATTTAGGGGGTGGGGTTGTGGCAAAGTCCCTTGAAGCTTGACTCTTGGTTGAGTCAGTCAAGCAGCTGTTGTGGCACAGGTGAGCTGGAGAGTGTCCCACTGAGCACTCGCCCTGACCCTAGGACAGCTTGTCAAGCATGAGACCATGTGCCTCCGCAGGGAAGCCCAGAGCCAGCTTCTAAACTGTGGATTTGGCCACTGACTTGCCACTTAGACACTCTGATTCCCTAGTGAAGTCAGGGGCTATCAAAAACATTCTCTAGTGAGACAAAACCCACAGCAGAATCTACTTGGAAGAACAACCTTCGTAAAATCAAGCCATAACTAACATTAATATTTTGGCCAGGATAAAGGAGATAGGTACCTTAGAAAGCACCAAAGGCATTAAAATTCCAGGTTTTCTTGAAACATTTTATTGGTAAAAAAAAAAAAAAAAATGCCTGTGGGTAATATTTGACTTCCAATTTATAAACCCTGTGATGGGGAAAAATAATGATGAGAGGTGGAAATCATCACTACCGAACAATATTGAATGCCAGCTTGTTGCTCGATGATGTATGTCCAGGTGAAGCCAAAGATGCAGACAGTTCTTTGTGGTTGAAGTACTTCTGCTCCATTAATGACCTGGGCCCAGATCAGGACCAACTGCAGTTTTGAGCCATGACTGAATGTAAAAGCTGAAAGCGACTGTGGCAGTTAGGAGTATGTCCAGCCAGAAATAACAGAAAATTTGGCTCACAGTCGCTTCAACAGATAAGGAATTATTTTTCTCATGTAACAACGTGTTCAGAGGCAGATAGTGACTGATAGCAGTTCAATGATCTAGTGCTGTTTGGGCTTCAGTCCACCTTACTCGGCCTCTTGGTATTCACCTTCACCTTTGCCATAACTGCACATCTGTGACTGAGGTGAAAGAAGTAGGAAAGGGGAGCATCAGCTGCATCTATTCACCTGGTAGGGAAACAAAAGCTTTTTTAGAAACCCTCTCCTTAGCCTTTCCCTGCAGGCTCGTTGGTCAGAACTATGTCACATGACTGCCTTTAGCTGCAAGGGAGGTTGAAAAATGGATTTTTTTTTTTTTTTTCTGTTCAGCCTCTCTGGTGGAGGAGAGCAAGGGAGAATGGGCCAGAGAATAGGTGTGTGTGAGCTGACACACCAGTGACAGCTACAGAGAAACTCCTTCCCATATTCACCTTGTACAGATGACCAAACTGAGTTCCAGAAATGGGATGTAACTTGGCCAAGGTCCTGTAACTAGATAAAGTTAGAGCCAGTTCTGGAGCCTGGGTCTCCTAACTCCCAGTCCACAAAACTACTCACTGGACCACCCCATGGTTGTAATTTGACAGAGTCTGCAACTGATGCTCTGCTGAAGAAGTAGAATACCATCCAGAAAGTGAGGTGACGGACATAAACTCTCAGCAGTGGGCAGAGAACATAGTAGCTGCCACTTGAGCTTTCCTTCCTCCCTCCCTACGAATCTGAGAGAACTCAGTGTGAGTCCCGGAAGCTAGGCCAAGTCAAATCAGGCCTCCTCCAAGTTTTCCCCTGCTGTGTAGACTGTTTAGTTTCTCGTTCCTCTGGCACATTGATGTTCGTGTGTGTTATAACGGAAGCAATCTCATGATGAGCACCATGATAAGGTAGAATTTCCATGTCCTTGTTAATGTGCTGTTCTTGTCTTCTGTCCCCTTCTGTTATTGGACCAAACAGAAGTATTCTGCTGTTTCTCTCTGCAACATCTCCACAGAAGTCCTGAAAGTCATCAATGCCACGGAGGAGTTGATAGCAGAGTCGACAGGGCCCTGGGAGTCCCCACCTGTCCCCCCTGACAGAGAGAAGGGCACGTTTCCCCTTGGAACAGACCAAGTGAGACTGGATGAGCAGCTGACTTCCCTGGAAGAAAACGTAAGACGGCATGGGTGTACTTTGTCTAGAGCAGGCATATGCGAAGCGGCAGCTGATGACGTTATAACTCATCACAAAAAGTGCAAGGACACACACACGCTGCGGCCGCCGCCGCCACCACCACTCCCACCACCAGAGCAAATACATTCTCAACAAGGGTCTTGGCTGGGATCCCTGGAGCAGATAGTGAGATGAGGATTTGTGGACCCATGATTTAATAGGGCAGTGCTCCCAGGGTAGGTTAGTACGGGACTGGGGAAAGAAAGCAGGAGGGAAGAAGCCAAACAAGGGTATGATTTAGACAAAGAGTAGCTTCAACCTGTCCCTGCAGGGAACTCTGGGGTGTAAGCTGTGTCTCGGAGTTGTCCTGACCTGAAGTAAAGGAACCGGCCCCTCCTCCAGGCAGCAGGCTCTTAAGTCTCTCTGCATGCCAGCAAAGTGTCTATAGTAGTCCAAAGGTTGTCCTCAGTGTGGATTTGAGCTGTTGGGAGCAAAAGGGCTCTGAAGCAGGGTGTGCGGGGAGGAGCAATGGTGGGACTCTGCAGAGCCTATGCAAGGGATGCACAGGGATCCAGGTAGAGCATTGCCCGGAATGAAGTTGGTAGCCCCCAGAGCTTGGGTTCCCGCAACTGGCCTGCCCTGCTTTACAGATAAGTCATCTGGTAATAGAGTTTCCTATCCTTCCAACTTGTGAGGACAGAGAGAATATAATAGATTCTTACATATAAACATCCGCAATCATTGCTGAGTATTTCAATAAAGGTCCAATGAGAATTTTCCAACAATGCAGACCAGGGGTGACAGAGATTTGGACACTAGCTACTCAGGCCATAGTCTCCATCACCAACTGTCATAGTCCTGCCCACAAAAGTGGTATCAAGTCAGGTCAGCTGATTCCATCTTTGTGGACCCAACAGAATGAGCCCTGAGTTGGGGGTGCTCTAATGAAAGCTGTTCTCAGAAATCAGGGACTGTTGTTAAAGGAAATTTTTGCTAAGAGTTGAAACAACAAATCAAAACAACTCAAAGTTTTACAAAAAGGCCAACATTTATTTCACTTCAGAAACTGAGGACTCCATCCCTTTGGATTCCCGTAGAACCTAAACATATATCCACGGAAGCACTCACCTCTCTCCGCTGTCCTGTCTGGTCACCCATCTGTCTCCCCTTAGATCGCTATCGGGACATTTTGGGTTCGATAATTCTGTGTTGTAAGGGGCTGCCCTGTACGCCACAGGGTGTTCAGCAGCATCCCTGGTCTCCGTCCATTAGATGCCAGGAGCAGCACCCTTCTGGTTGAGGCAATCAGAAACGTCTCCAGACATTGTCAGATGTTGGAGGGGATGATGTGGGGATGCAGGTTGGGAGCCAGATACTTAAATTCCTGCGGAGCAGGCCTGCTGGAGCCCAAGCCCTTGACCACAGCCTGACACACAGGAGGTGCCCGAAGAATGCTTAGGTTACCTCAAATGAATGAAGTCCTTTTTTTTTTTTTCCCTTTTAAGACTGATATGAGAAACGCTGATTGGTTGCCTATTGCACACCCCCAACAGGGACCTGGCCCTCAACCCAGGCATGTGCCCTGACCAGGAATTGAACCACAGACCTTCTGGTTTGCAGGCTGGTGCTCAATCCACTGACCCGCACCAGCGAGGGCTGAATGAAGTCCTTTTTTAAGGAAATGATTTAGTTCTGATATGCCAGGTCTCTGTCCCTTCACTATATCTACACTACAGTTCTCTCAGTGCTGATGGTCCTAAAATGGCACTAATCCTGGACACACTGAATTGAAAAGGTTAAAATAAAGATATGGTTCACCAGGAAAGGGATTTTTTTTTTTTTTTTTTTTTTTTTTTGCAAAGTATGGTGTCAGAAAACTTACAATGCGTGAAATAATCGGGATTTAAATGGTAACAGTCAGTCCCCATGGCTCAGTTAAAGCCAAGACAGCGTAGCTTTCTCTTCCCCAAGGAGCATGAAAAATGTCCTTGTTGGAGTTGTCATTTTTAAAGATCTTTTTATTGCACACGACGCTTCTTTTCTTGGGTTTGTTAGCATTTTCAGTTTGAAACACATCCACTTGCCCCCTATTCAGGATGCCACCAATCCCAGCAGGGACTTGTACTGAAAGGCCAGGGTCTGTCCTTTCCTGTCCGACACCGCTAAGCTGCCCCTCCTGTCCCCAAAGAGTTAACCGCCTTCCTCCTCCTCCTTCCCCTCCCCGCCCCAGCTTTATGTTTCACCTCAGAAGAAACCCCATCTACGTTCCTTTGAATTTTATGGCTTTCTTTACTTTTCTTTCTTTCTTTTCTCTTTTTCTTTTTTTTTTTTTTTTTTTTTTTTTTTGAACCAGAGAAGGGATGACTCTTTGCTTTATCTCTTTAGCACACCAGATCACAGAGCCAGAACAGGTTGCTTCGCTCTGCGGTTTCCAGATGGAATTCATTTGAGCGGCAGGAACAGGGCAGGGCCGATGCTTAAGCTGGCCTCTGGATGCAGCCGATTTCATTAAACCGTGCCTTTTGTCTGTCTCTCCCAAAGAGCAGGCCTTATCCCTCCGCTGCCTCTCTCCTTTGTGCCCAGGAACCCGGGGCCTGCCGCAAATAGAAATAGCAATACTTTTTCTCGCCTTCTGAACGTTGGCTACCGCAGACCAGGACTCTGAGATGAAAGAGAACATTGGCTTGAGAATGTTTCGCCTTTAAAAATACTTCTGAAGGCTTCAGAGCTGCATACGCTAAAAATGTCACATTCGTATGTCAACTCTGTGTTCATAAACGGCCTTGTTAATCCACTTAATTAGAGGAAGGCCTGGGGAGTTCAGAATTCCCTCAGACTCAGCTTTGACACGGCTCACCCACCGGCACTCTGAAACGAGCTCTCTCCCCCCAAAAGGCAGGAGGAACCTCGGGCCAATGCCAGCCTCCCCTGCACATACAAAGGGGCCTCAGTGTCTTGGATTGAATGCCCGGGTCTCTCGGGGCTCTTGCTGAGCGCTGTGAGCATAGGAGTCTATTGTCCCTGTTGGGGTCTGGCAGGGAGAGGAGAGGCTCAGGAAGGGATGATTAACTGAGATGTGGGCGAGGCTAGGGGATGCTGTAGCATCCACACAGTAGCAGGAGGAGGAAGGGGTCGCCAGCCCTAAGCGGGGTAGCCCAGGGAGAACTCGATTCTGGAAGAGCGCCCCTCGTGGAAGCTGTGACCATGGAGCCCAGGCAAGGAGAGCCTGGGGGGAAGACCCTAACTTCTTTCTTCCCCTGTCTTTGGTCTCTTGTTGGTGTCTCCCATTGGCCAAACCCATCCCAGCCCAGCAAGGGAGCCTTGGTGATGAAGTTCAGCTAGGGCAGCCCCGCATGGAACAGGTCAGGGCAGAGAAGGGTGGAAAATGGATCTAGGGGTCCACAGAGAACCACTAGCATGACCATTCTCGGGCCTGTGCTGTGAATAGTAGAGACCCAGATGGCTCCTTCAGTCTCCCAGCCCCATCTGAGGACCTTGCTTGTTCTCGTCTTTGCTGAATAACAGAGACAGCCTGGGGCACCCCGTCCTTCTCAGCCACAGAGGAGACCCAGCTTCCCGTTCAGCTCTGCCCTGTAACTCTTGGCAACACCAAAGGTGTTAGCCAGTTTTTCCTATAGCCATTGGCAGCAGACAGAGTGAAACTGCCCCACCAGGACCCCAGCGTTGCCACAGAGTCCAAGACCAGGCAAAGGATGCCAGTCAGTTGTCGTTCTCAAGGCTCTGGTAAACCTCCACAGCACCGGAGAGGGCGTGGCACTGGGACCTGTGGCCGTGGCCATGGCTCCTCAGGTGGTTCGGACCCCAGAGAGCAAGGAAAGAAATACCACCCATTACTGTCTCACAGTAGTCCCCGAAAGCGTATTTCATGGGAGCCAAATCCAGTAAGATGCTCTAAGATCAAATGAGTTTGAGAAATCTGTATACTCTTTCTAGGAAAACTGAGATACATGTTAGCCCATGAAAGACTCAAGTCCTCCAGTAATAAATCTGCCTAATTCTCTTTATGGCAGGGGCTCTGGCCACAAAATCTATCTTTAATGAAACCCCTGTTCGCATCCCTTGGCCCATCTGGGGAAAGACTTGTTAAACCAGGACCAGGTGAATGGGGTCGTAAGCCTCAGCGAGTATGGAGAGGACACAGATTACCCAAGCATGATAACCACAGTTCTCACCCAAAATAGACCTTTCCTAAGCAAGCAATGCCAGGTTACTGTTTTTCAATGGGTTATGTTTTAAGGTTAGAGAAACATTTTCATTATACAGCATGTTCCCTTTTGTTATTTCAGCCCAGCAACAGAGCCAATGTCATGTCAGCCTATAACCACAGTAACCCCAGCACCTTGGTGGCAGAGTTCGAAATGTAAAAGCCATAACATTCCAGCCATGGTTCAGTATCACGGCATCGCGGGGCAGGGAGGGATCAGCCCTCCCGAGCTCAAAACCAGGCTCCGCCCCTGCCCAGCTCTGAGACCTGGGGAAGTCACTGAACTTCTAGGACACAATGTTCTCATCTTCCATACAGTGATGATACCAGTACCGCCCTCAAGGGTTGCCATGAGCTTTAAATAAGTCACACAAAGCCCCTGGCTCAGCGCCTGGCTCAATAAATACGTGTCATCATCACCATCCTCCTCCTCCTCCTCCTCCTCCTCCTCCTCCTCCTCCTCCTCCTCCTCCTCCTCCTCCTCCTCCTCCTCGTCCTCCTCCTCCAGCCCTTCAGGCACCACCGGCTTCGGCTGTGAGGATCTGTCCAGCTGGCGACAGTGCCAAACCACAGAACCGCTCCTGGTGGCAGGCAAGCAGGGAACACAAAGTAAAAGATGAACCTTCTGGCCTGGCCAAGGGCTTGGAGCTATTTCCTATTGTTTTGCCCTGGCAGAGAACACAGAGGACATCAGTGGATGACCGTGCTGACAAGGAAACAGCGAGGTGCTGTTAAATTGATAGAGCCGCAGGGTGGGATGGCGTGGAGTTTTGTGTGTTTCTGCAAAACTCAAGGTTCCCGGACCAGAGTCACATCAAGTTATGTTTAACCATTGCCACACTCAAATTATTCATTTTACTCAAATAATTCCAAATTTTGTTCCATGTGCAAAATTTAAGTTTATATTTAAAATTCGCTTATCAAAATAAATGTATCTTTTTTTTTTCTTTTGGTAAATTTGGCTAGAAAATGTGTGATGTCCAAACTCAAAATTTCCCTGGCTGCCATTTTCTCCTTCCCCTCTCCTCTCTCCGTCTTCCTCTCTCTCTCCTCAACTTTTCTTCCCCTGTGAAAAGGTCTTCAACTTTGAAACTTGGAAGAGACAAAGTTTTAATTTCTCCACTCAGCTTTGAAATAGTCATCTCCTTCATATAACAAAGTCACATTCCTTGTTTCGAAGACAAAGAATAAATGGCTTCATTAAACTGTGAGGATCTTTTAGAAACAAGGTCTCTAAAACTTGCATATGGTAAAGAAATATAAAATTAAGGGCCACGTGAACGATGGCCATTGCCATCGGACATTTAATTCATGGCCCCCAGCATGGCTGGCGAATCCCTTCACATGACATCCTGCGTCCGCCATTCCGGAAGCCGCCACAGCCCAGCCCCTTGTGCCTGCTGGTGCACAGCCAGGTTTGCTTTCCTCAGACCTACACCTGCCTTTGCTCCACTTCGAAACGTCTTGTAAAGTTGCTGGTTCTAACGCAGAGGCGTGGATCGTCCCAAGGACCTGACAGAGAGGGAGCTTCTCAGGGTTCTTTCTTCTCACCAGCGCTTGACGTGCGTGGCTCCTCTGCGTTAGCTCTCGGCTCACCTAACGCAGTTATAGTTTTAACTCACATTAAAGAAACCGTGAAAGGGCTGGCTGGACTGACTGCTTTTCATTCAGGTCAACCCTAAATGGCTGCGATGGCATGTCCAGAGCTGTGTATGGGCTGATCAAACCTCATGGACCTCTCTTTCAGGCTCCCCCTTCTTCAGGCACATCTGGCTCTGTGTTGCCAGTTGCTTCCTCCCATCATTGTCAGGCTGAAGAAGCATTTGTTTCATTCACCCTGGTGGGCGTCCCCCAGGCGGAATTATTCCAACAATGTTATTTTCTGTTTGTCCACTTTTATAGAATCGCCTTATACACTCAAGCGTCAACATATTTTTTTTTCTTGCCCTGACTGGTGTGGCTCAGTTGGTTAGACATTGTTCTGCAAAGCAAAGGTCGCCAGTTCAATTTCCAGCCAGAGCACATGCCTGTGTCACAGGTTTGGTCCCCAGTCAGGGTGCGTACGAGAAACAACCAATCAATGTATCTCTCGCACATTGATGTTTCTCTCCCTCTCTTTCTCCCTTCCTTCCCCTCTCACTAAAATAAATAAGTATCAGTAAATAAATATCAATAAATAAAATTTTAAATTATTTTTTGTTTCTCAAATTACATGCTCCTTTTACCTGATTTTCCTTTAATCTTCAGTAGCTCATGGAAAAACTCTTACCTGACAGATTTGACACGCTTTCCTTAACTGCACACTGTTTTCTAAGAAATAAAGTATTTTCCTACTATAACTGCAGGTTTATTTAATTCCCTTTGCCTGTTGCAAGCAAGCTGAAGGTAATCAAAGACAAGTCACTCAAAATTTTGTCATTGTTTACAATTAATTGCACCTATTTCATATTTTGCTAATTTTTCTGTTACAAAATGCCAACCAAAATTTTTATTCAGAAAACCACATCATACGTTTTTCCCTTCGTTTCTTCTGTCTTGATAGTATAATTGTTATAGTCACTGGACAAGCGCACAATTGATGTAGCTGATGCCATGTGTTTTTTACTATTTTATTATATTTCCAAAATGTACAGACTGTCTTTTCTTGCAGGAAAACGCAGGGAGGGGGATCAACAGTGAGGGGGTGGCAGGACCACAGGCCACCATTTAAGCGCAAAGAACATTTTTACATGGGGGCGTTCCCTGTCCTTCGCCCCCAGTGTTGAGCCCAGTTCTCCCTCGCTCCCCGGAATTACCGGGGTTCCCTGCAAAGCCCCACCAGTCCAGGTCTGCAGCCCTGAGCTCAAGGCTGCGCCTCCTCCGCAGGTGTACCTGGCGGCAGGCACCGTGTACGGACTCGAAGGCCAGCTGAGTGAGCTGGAGGATGCTGCCCGCTGCATCCACAGTGGCACCAATGAGACTGAACTGGCAGATCTGGAGGACCAGGTGGCCACGGCCGCAGCCCAGGTCCACCATGCCGAGCTCCAGGTAAGAGGTCTCCTCTGTGCCCAGGTGGGAGACCGCGAGGCAAAAGGAGAGGGCTCCCCATCTTCCACAAGGATCATTTCAAAGCCTTTGTATACACCACTTCCTGCCATTTCCAGTTCACTTGCATGGCTATGAATCTTAAGGGTGGATTCTAATATGACAGACTTGAGCGGCACAAAACAGTTGAGGTGGGGAAGACCACCCCACCTCAGATGGCCCTGACCAGAATTCCCATGGTTCCCTGGGCTTCCACTTGTCCCTGGAGGTACTCTTACATGGGTGATGCTCTGGGTTTACCAACTAGAAAGCTAAACTTACAAAAAAGGGCCTGTGTCTTATTTTCTCACTATAGTACTAGATAGAGAAGTGCTTGGTAGCAGTTGAATGAATGAATGAGCATACATCTAAGCAGATTTGTTCTTTATAGATTTATAACACTTTTGACAAAGCTTCTCCCCTCCTGTGCTTTCTCCCTCCTGATTCTGTCTTTCTGCTACATTCAGATCTCTGATATCGAGAGCCGGATTTCAGCCTTGACGATTGCAGGATTAAACATAGCGCCGTGTGTGCGCCTCACAAGAAAACGAGATCAGAAGCAAAGGAACCAGGTGCGTTTGTGCCTCACTCCTTCTGTGGGAAGTGTGCACAGCCTGGAACATCGAGAGGATAAAAATTTTTGGCTTTGAGAAGGTGTATTGATCGCTGTGTTCTGTTCGTAGGTACAAACTATAGACACATCAAGACAGCAGAGGAGGAAACTGCCTGCTCCACCAGTGAAAGGTCCGCTTCAGTTAAGGCCCCAAAGAATCAAGCCTGACTCATTGACTTTGAGTGACTCAGAAATCTGAATCTGAGGACCAGATCTAATGGGGAGCTCTCACGTGCAACTGCTCTTGTGGACAGTCTCTCTTGACTTGGATCCCCCAAGAAGCAGACCCTGGGACAAGGATATGAGTGCAAGTAGTTCGTTTAGGAGGTGATTCCAGTAAGCGCTGGTGGGGGAAGAGAGAAATGACTCAGGGAAGAAAGTTAAGCCAATACGCTGTATTAAACCCTTCTGGGGATTTCTGGGAGACAGGATTGACTGCACCTCAGAGTTTCTTGTCCGCGGAGTAGGGAGACGAGGCATTTCAACTCTCATCCATCACTGGCTGCAAGTTATTTCTGTGGGGCATTAACTTCCTGGTACTTCTGACCTGCCCCATGCATGGGCCACAGAGAGTGGCAGTGCTTGCTGTAGGGTGCTGTCAGAATGTTCTGGAACAGCGACTGTCAGGGAGATGTGGATAGGGCTCCAAAGGCATCTGACCTGGAAGGGAGGCCAGCCCAACCTGTGGATTCCAGTGATGCCAATGGTATCACCATTATCCTGGACATTTTCAATAATTTCTCTGGATCCAGAGCCACATAATGATGATGCCAAACGAGAAACTTAGATCTACCAATTAGAGGTGTAGAATGTCAGAAGATAGATGTTTAAATCTTGGTTCCACCATTCATTGCTCAGACAGTTATTGCATACCTACTTTATGCTCCACAAAAACTCACACAATTAAAATTTATTATAGCCCTGGCTGGGTTGCTCAGTAGATTGGGGTGTTGTCCCATACACCAAAAAAGTTGCAGGTTCAATCCCCGATCATGGCATATGCATAGGTTGCAGGTTTGATCCCCAGCTGGGGCATGTATGAGAGGCAACTGACAATCAATGTCTCTCTCTCTCTCACTCTCTCTCTCTCTCTCTCTCCCCCCCTCTTCCTCTCTATCTAAAAATCAATAAACATACCCTTGGGTGAGGATTTAAAAAAGTTTATTATACATCCATGATACCTCATTTGAAACCCTTAGGTCAATATGTGTTTCAGAATTTCTTGGGCATTAAGGGAGGAGGGTTGGAGGGCTGGGTGGAAAAGGTGAAGGGGTTGAGAAGTACAGATTGTTACTCACAGAAGAGTCACGGAGATGTAGATTACAGCACAGAGAATATAGTCAATGATGACGTGATATCCAGGTGTGGGGCCAGGTGGGTACCTCTCTGTAAAGTACATGAGTTTCTTACCACTATGCTGTACACCTGAAACTAATACAGGATAGTATTGAATATGAACTGTAATTGAAAAATAAAGAAGGAAGGTAATGTGTATGTACTGTATATTTTATAACACCCCCCACCATGGTGTCTGGGGCAGCCCCTGATAAACACGCCAGTAGCCTTGCAGGGAAGCATGACAATGTTCACATTCAACTCGAGGGGTGGACAAGGACTTCAGAAGGCCACATTCAGTTCAAGTCACATTTTGCCATCAGACAATTTTGGCTTCAAGGTTATAAATGTGCCCAGTTTTCAGAGCCTTTTATATTTCCAAATGGCCAGTAAGAATTTATGAACTGTTTTGGATTATCTGCAAGCTACCTTTCCCCAGAAAGCTACTAATGACGCCTGATTTGGTTCATTATAAAAATAAACACTAAATAAGTCCACAGTCAGACTCATGGATCAAACTGAGATTCCAAGTCTAGAACAAACATCTGGGTAATCTGGACATCTGGCCTTTCTTCCTTAACAATCAGCCCTGCCTCTGGGCAACACTTATTCTCATTTGTTTCCTTTTAGCTGAAAAAATGGAGGCATCTTCAGTGACCACCATTAAAACATTCAACCGCAACTTCATCCTCCAAGGCTCCTCAACAAACAGGACTGAAGACAACAGAAGCGCCACCAAGGATCTGATGGTGAGTGTCCCTGTCCTAATGCCCATCACTTTTGCTGCAGATGGTACCTCCGTTCTGTAGCCCGCCTGCCTGTAGCTTCCCCCGTAGGCCCCCAGGAGGCGTCCTTTCCATGTGGTCTCATGGTCTGTTAGGGGTAGGGGGGAGTGGGGATCTAAGAGAAGAGACGAACATGCTGACTCTTTGATGTGTGGATACATCCTCTCAACTGTATTTCCACCTCCTTGTAGAAGCCAATTTTGATAGAAGTAAAAATAGGTACGCAAGGCTGGAAAACCTAGTTGAGAAGTAGGAGTTTTTATTCTGTTTCTGAACCATATTCACTCTCCCTTAAATTTCCTGCTAGTCACCTGTTGTGGTCCTGAAAAAAGTCAGCAGCTAAGCCTAAACGAGACAAAGAAAAGGGGAGAAGGTAGTTTGCACAAACTCTGGAGATCGTGTAGAGAGGGCTAACAGATTATTCGCCTAAACACCAAGACATAATTCAGAATTTTGGCAAATGCTTGCTTCTGAGGACTATGGGGATCCGGCTAAAATGCCTCAGTGGTACCATTATGCTAAGGGCGGGTGACGTCTGGGGTGACAAGACAGAAGCAACGACAAATGTAATCTGTTGCTTTTTATGTATCACCCATCACTCCCTTCCCCACTCTCTTTCTCCTTGTCCTTGGGTCCTGAGTGCAAAAGCACCAGGCGATGGCACAATGCTGGGCATGCCATTTTTTTAAAGATTTTATTTATTTATTTTTAGAGAGAGGGGTGGGAGGGAGAAAGAGAGGGAGAGAAATAGCAATGTGAGAGAGATACATTGACCGGTTGCCTCTCACATGCCCCCAACTTGGGACCTGGCCAGCATCCCAGGCAGGTACCCTGACCAGGAACCGAACCCATAACCTTTCAGTTTGCAGGGTGACATTCAATCCAATGAGCCACACCAGCCAGGGCTGGGCATGCCAGTTTGAAGTACCAATCACTGCATCTATTAGGCACCACATGGCAGCATGGGGCCTGTTGCCTTTCCTTCCTTGGTCAACCATTACCTCTGACCTTTCGAAGTCTAATTATCTTGCTTCTGGGCATTACTTCAAAGAGCTGAAAGATTCATTATTACACTAAAAGGACAGACCACTAGGGCCAGGGAAGGGATCTGTTATAAATCAGATAGTTAAAAATAGATTACCTTTCATAGTGCTAGAACATGGGTCAGCAGTTGCCAGGAGCTATGGGGACGGGGAATCGGAAGAAGCTTCTCAGTGGATAAGAGGTTCTACCTTAGAGTGATGGGGATGTTTTGAAACCGCATAAAGGTAGTGCTTGCCAAACTGTGAACATGTTAAATGCCTCTGAATTGTTCACTCTAAAATGGTTAATTTTATGTTATGTGAATTTCACCTTAATAAATTATTTTTTAAAATAAGTTACCTTTAAATAACAGAGTGGTTAACAATGAAAATATGGACACCATTTACTAAAGAAATGCAAACAAAATAAAAAGGACAAGAACACTGCTTTCAGACGCAAAGAAGAATGCAAGACAAGAAGGATTCAGAGAGAAAACAAGGAGGAAGGACGTTTTAATTTTGATAAAATAAAATAGGTGACTCATGAGCCTCTCTTGCATTGGCAGACTATGGAGCCAGACAAGTGATGGGGCCACGGCGACTTTAAAATTCCCTTAATTAAGGTGTTTAACTTTATCCTTTAGAGGGTTCACTGTCTTTCCAGCCATCAATGAACCATTTATAAAAACTGATTTTATACCAGTTACAAAGAAAACATCAATAAATTCCGACAAGTCGAAAGTACAAAACTACCTTCTGCGACGCCTGTACCAGCACCCATCGAGGACAGCACACTGCTCAATAGACCTTTCTGAGAAAATGGACACGCCCCGTGTGGCGGCCGTGTGCGGCTGCCTCAAGTCCCAAGCACTTCAAATGTGGCCGCTGCCTTGGGGAAACGGATGCTTAAGCTGTTTCTTAATTTTAATTAATCTAAATGTAAACAGCCACAAGTGGCTGGTAACTACCATATTGGACAGGGCAAAATGAGAACAAAAGTTGAAATAAACAAAAACCTTATTTTGATTTATACAACCTGTGCATCCACATACACAACTATACATATATACAAACATACACACATGCACACTCTGACACACACATTCCAAGGAATTATGAATTAAAGAAAAGCAAATCCACAGAGCATTCCAAAAATGAAAACATTACATATATCAAAACAAGCGGGATCTATATAAAACTACATGAGTCAAATTTATAGTATTAAATATTTTCTTTGTCATTAAAAAAGGAAGAGGCAAATCTATTGAACTAGATGTTGAATTCCAGACATCAAAGGTAAATGCAAAAACCAACTAATTAAAACCAGAAAACTGAAGAAATGATCATAAATTGAAGAGTTTATCCTTTGGAAAAATATAAAATAGAAAATTTTTGGTAAGCCAAATCAAGAAAAATCAATAAATAAAAACAAGAGAGTATAATAGAGATATAAAATTTTTATTTAAATACATAAATGTAATATAAATCTATGTTAATAAATTTTAAAATCTTAATTCTAATAAAATCAGAATCCAATCAGAATATGATTGAAAAGTTATTTTAAAAAAAAGAGTTTAAAATTTATTAAACCTTCAAAAAAGATTCTCTGGCCAAGTAGTTTTGCTGATAAATTTTGAAGGAACAGTGAATTCCAATGCAATATAAAATATTGCAGGGCAAAAATTAAATAAGCAAATGAAAGATTCACATTGGGAAGCTAGTATAACCCCAAGTACCAATGCCTGACGCAGCTGATAAAGGACACACTCAAATAGAGACCATACACTAGTTGAGCTTCTTCAGAGAGACGACGCGTACTAAATACAGTATTAGTAAATTAGACACAGCAGTACATTAAATAATAAATCACCAGGTAAATTTTACAGGAATGCAAGGATACTTTTAATACTGAGATACTGACTAATAAATCACTTCAATAGCTCAATAAGAAAAGCCATTTCTCAAATTAATTTATAGTTTAATCCAATTCTCATAAAAGTCTCAGTGTGATTTTTTTGAAAGTTCACGTAGGAATAAATCAGAAAGAGTAGACAAATGCATTTTGCAAAGGTAAGATGATTTTCCTGCTTGATTTTCAAACCAATTAAAAGCTGTAGAGGTATTGATGACGAATGGAATAGAATAGAAAGCTCAGCTATAGATACAGGCACATAGGAAAATGTGCTATATGAATGGCATTAGGAACTCAGAGAGAAGGTATAGATTTCCTTCTTTAATGTGCTGGGGAAGTTGGCCAAGGGGGTGATAGTGGGAAGGGCCTAAGTTTGCCTTCTTCCACATACCACAATAAATTTCAGGTGGATTAAGGCGCCCAAGTAAAAAAATGCATCACTTTTCAAATACTGGGAAATGTGTAGCTGGTCAATGAGCGTGACTACCTTTTATGATGTAAAGAAGCCGTAGACGTTTTGTTTTTACCTCCTCCCCTCACTGTGCCAAGCTGCCGTTGACAGTGTGCTCGTGGTCTCGCCCCAGGAGCCCCCCTTGGAGTCTGCTGTGATGTATTAGCGCCATGGAACACTCCACTGCCAGTGACCCACTGCCTCCGGCCGTACACGACAGTGCCTTGACCCCACAGCCATCGAATACTGTGTGGACGTCCAGCTGAGGAGAGGGCCGGCGGAGCCCAGTGCACAGGGCTCTCCTGGCACCTCACCCAGAAAGCCGTCGCCAACTTCAGCATTGCGGTCTCGCCCACCCTCTGCCTTAGGTCCCTAGGGGTATCCAAGACAGAAAACCAAGACTCTGGCGCCCAACGGCAGAGCTCCGCATCCAAAAACGCGTCATTTCCCTGTTGGCTTGGCTACTGTGCGTCGTCTTTAGGCTCTTTCTTATTTTCTTTCTTTTGATTCCTTTGATTCAACTAGAATTACTTATCAACAATTTGTCCAAAGAAAAATGGTTGGAGGGGCGGGGGGTAGGGAGATGAGCATTACCATTCAATTCATCACCAATTCTTATTAATCGCTTCCAAGCGTCTTTGTCTTGCAAGTGCTGAGGGAAAAAGTGAAAATGCCCCTGAAGCGAGCACTAGGGACTGTCAAAATTGGAGAGTGCTCAACCGTCTGGAGGCAGGTCTCCCTTCAGCCACCTCCCTCTTGCTCGGTCCCCAGCCCACCCCACCACCAGTCATTCCCATTGCTTTGCGGTCACCGGGCACAGAGTGGAAAGCTCCAATTCACCCGTGCCACGCCCAGGTCCAGCTGAAACAATGGCTCGTTGAGAATTTAGCCTTTTCCTTGGACTTCCTGAGACTTTTCCCCACTCTGAAGTGAAGAGGCACTTGAGAAAGACCAACATTGACTTAACCTTAGGGGAATGTCCAGAATCAACATAAGGTGAGGTAGCGATGACCGCACCTAAATGATGTGTAGGTCAATGCATCATCTCAGACTATAGCCAAACGAGAAAATGTTGTCCCCCCAAAATTTACTTTCCAATAAATATTCAGCAAAAGTAGTACAATGACCCGAAGGACAGAAATGATTAAGGACTAGCCAGAAAACTTACAGATATGAAAAAAAGCCAGGACAAACTATGAATTTAATGGACAAAAGAGTTGATACTGTTTCCATGTTTCTGGTCTCAAATGCATGACTATGTAGAGTGAGTTTATAAAAGCAAATAGAACTGGAATTTCACTCAACTGATCACTTTGCTAATGTATTCTGAATCTGAGGAAGAAGGCAAAGATGGGAGGCAAGGGAATAGTGCAAGTGATGTTTATTGTTTTTCTCATTTTAATCCATAGAGCACCCCTATTTAGTAGGTATCGCCATTTTTCAGGTTTGAAAACTGAGGGCCAGGGAGATTGATTTGCCAAAGTCACAACTGCAAGCTAAGTATAATTAGAATGCTCCGTGAGAGCGTCCCTCTGTGTTGTTTTCAACTTCTGTGTTCTTTTGCTGCTTGGCACATTCCCGGGCCTGACTGGCTGCTGAAATGTGTTATGATGCCTTCCTGATGGGGGTCTACCTTCCAATAATACTTCTTGCTGATGCTGTGTATGTGTTATCCACCAGCAATGATGCCTTTGAAATAAAGTAAATCTGGCTTTTTGTTCTGTTGGTGTGATTCAAAGCAAACAAATGCAAATTTGAAAAAGATCGGAGTTCCAAATAGAATGTTTTCTTTAAGAGGCATGAACAGCAACTATTGTGTTACTGTGTTAAAATATTCAGTTTTCCTTGACAAAAAAAAATGTGTACTGTGTAAGCCTTGCAAAAAAACAAAAAAAATGAAGAAGAAGCCTGCTCTATGGCATTTGAATTTTTATAAAGGTTTCCTTGTGCCAAATAAGTGCAAAGATTTAATTTACTATTAAAAAACCATAAGCATATGTTATTGTTCCAGAAGAATTATTTTGTCATCAAGTGATTTTGATCTTCAGTGTCAATATTTATATTTAGATTAATTTTTATAAATGAAAATATTTTACTGGTTTAAGAAAAGGGGGACATAGGACCATATCTTTAATGACTGCAGAAAGACAAGCTTGCCTTCGTGTCGTATGCGCCTTGCCAAGAATTACTGTCAGGAGAGACGATAAAGAAGTAAAAGTCATTTATGAAAATAACGTTTCTAGGCGTGTGATTTTCTGGTTTGTGTTCAGTTTTTGGTTAGGGAAGGCCGGGAGAGAAGAGGAACTAGGGAGAGAAGTCACTGGGTAGTCGTCAAAGGGGCCAAGATTCAAGGCCACGGTTGCCCCGTGCCCTAGAGTCCCTCACGGAATCCCATTCACCTCTCCGTGGCTTGTCCTCCTGAGAGCAGTTTCCTAGCAACCACCCCTACTGAGTGGTCACCTGTGTAACACCAGCAGTTCTCCAAGCAGAAGATCGGGGTCCTGTGAGGGAGTGGGGGTGGTCATGTGATTTTGCCTCTTAGGGGACATTTTTGATTGTCACAACAGGGAGAGGTCAGGGTGTGTGCTACCGGCACATAATAGAGGCAAGGGATAAATATCCTACAATGTACAGGACAGCCCCCTCGCCTCGCCCCCCTCCCCATAGCAAAGTGTGTCCAACTCAAAATGCCAGTGGTGCTAAGGTTGAGGACTTGGGTTAGCCCTGGAGGTAAGGCTGGACACCCGTGGAGAAGCCCCTGCCAGTCTGTGTAGCTGAGCAGGAAGCAGGTCGGGGACTCCCCCAGAGTCTTGCACAGGTTCGGGGCAGTTGCTGCTCCTCTGAATCTGGCCCTTCCAGAACACTGAAGGCAGACACTGTCCCCTACCCTCCCCAAATAGGAATAGGAGCCCTCTGCTAACCAGAAATGCACGCGTGAATGAACACACTGATAGAAGCCAAGAGCCTTCTCTGCCCGGTGGCCTCATGCAGCGGTCCTCAGAATCTCCTGGGAAAGCACAGATTCGTGGGAGAAATCCAGTTGACCCCAGTTGACTGTGCCTGGCCCAGTGATGTTTGCTAACCACTCATAACAAACAAGCTCACAGTCAAGTTGGCAGGACATTTCCAATGGGGAGGTAGGGTGGGCAGTATCAGGAGACCCACCTGAAATCCTCTCTGGGCAGCATTTCCTGACAAAAATTCCTGATTTCTCCCTCCTCCCACTCTACATCCCCATCCCCATAAAATAGCAAGACAGCAAAGAGGGTCCAGTCACCCGCAAGTGACCTGAGCATTCAGCTGCCCTAACCTAGAAGCCCCAAAATCACGTGTTGAGCAACCAGTCTGCATGGACAATCTGGATGTTGAAGAGGATCGATCGATTTTTGAGGCAACAGTTTGAGTATCAAGAGTGATGGGTAGCTACATTCCAAAAAGGTACAGCTCTCCTTGTTTCTGGGTAAGTAGGAACAGTATCAAGATAATATTTTCCCCTGAGAAATAAGTGCTTGCTTTTTCATGACCAAAAAAAGTGACCAAATATTCAAAGCATTGAGGCTGCCAGACAAAAAAACGAGGCTTCAGTCTTAGACTCTCCACCTACCAGCTCTCTGGCAAATCACCTCATGTGTGAAATGGAGTCACAAATATGAAGGGTGGATAAACGAACATTGAGCTACTTTTATTTAAATTATATTTTATTATTTATGCTATTAGAGTTGTCCCAATTTTTCCCCCTCTTCCCCTTTCCACCCAGCCCTCCCCCCACTTCCTCAGGCAATCCCCCCAATGGTTGCTACTTCTTTTTGATGTTTCACAATTTATATATGAAACTTTGGTTACACTTCTGGGAGGATATCTATCTCCATGTGTACTGGTGTTGATATTTCATGAAGGATCCTCTATTCTTTGAAGTTCTTGATAAAACTTTAAAGCACAGGAGACATTTGGTACGTACAGTCCTTTAAAAATAACTTCTCGCACGACAGCCACTCTGTTTGCTCCCAGAAGCATTTCCCACACACAGTTTGCACTGAACGGAGCTGTTGGTTGTGTTCGCCTTCTGTCTCTGCAACTGAGTTAGGATTAGGATAAAGTGCAGGTAAATAGAGTTGCATTGTAAAGAGATTTCAAAGGGCTGGAAAACTAATACCCATTTTAAACATTGGAAACCTCAAAGAAGTTATTCAGAAGGACCTAGTTGGGTGGGAGCAAGTCCTGAAATATAGAGAAAGATGTTTTACATCAAAGGTTGTCACATTTGGTCAAGATGAAAGATCTGAGGCAGTGCGTCTCAAACGTGAACGTGCAAACTCTGATTCAGCAGGGCTGGGTGGGGCCACCGGTACTGCATTTGTGACAAGCTCCCGGGCCATGACAATGCTGCTGGCCACCCTGAACAGCAGGGTTCAGTGGGGTCCCTCCAAGAGTCCCCCACAGGATCGAGGCCCAGTTACCCACAGTGGTGATCTGTTCGCTGGTGCTTCCTTTGTGGCTTTTCTTCCCTTCGTTGTCTCGCCCCGCCCCCCGCCCCCAGCATGTATCCTGGGCCGCCGTTGGCTTTGGGGGACACCTGAGCTGAGACATCCCCTGCAGGGCACGCACGTGTTGCATATCTTTCTCCTGCACGCGCCTGAACGCTTCTTGGGGATCAGGGTTCCATTTGTCCTGCCCAGAGCCTGGAACAGGGCGGGTGCATGAAACACACTTGGTTCACCCGGGGCGGTGTGGGTGGCCTGGCTCTGGGCTGTGGTTAGGCCACACCAGGCGAGTGAACTGAAGATTGTGTATAGCAGGGGCCAGACTCGCACGGGGCTGGGGGTGAGCATCCCCCACACGGATGCTCTGTGCCACATGGAAGGGCACAGGAGGCATCCCAGCACCAAGATGGAGGAGTGGGAGGCTCCCCCCAACTCCTTCTTCCCCCTTGCCCTGCTTCTAAAGGGGCGGAGCTAACCCAGGTGGCAATGAATGGCCCAAGCACCTGCTCCCCAAAGGCCAGAAGCACAAGCTCCTGCATCCAGATGCCCAAAACCTGTGGGCTCGGTGGGACACCGGCAACTTAGGCTTAGTTTAGCCGGGCCTCTTAAAACACAATGTCTGGGCTGAGAAAGAGTTAACATGGAGCTGTTGGGTGCTGTCACCCCTTCCTGCCACCACCGATAAGCCAGGACAGACTCTGAGATGCTCACTCTTTCACTGACTTCTTTGAGCGTAGCCCACGTGCCCAGACATGACCCTCTTCTCTGAATGGATCCTTCCCCTCCATCCTGTGTCCCTAAAAAGCTGGAACCCGGAGAACTCAAAGGTTAGAGCAGAATTCCCAAAGTGGGGATCAGACCACATGGGAGGTAGAAGATGGTCAGTTGGGAGCAGACCCAAGAAAATGGTAGAAATTTTATGTATACTTATGTTTTTTATCTGAAAGTAAGATTTACCAATGTTAAATACGGAGATGGATGAGAGTACATGTAAATAATTTATAAATGAATAGATATATTCTCAGGGTGCATTGTCAAACAGTTCTTACTGATGGGATGTGGGTCAAAATGTCGGGAGGCTGCTACCAGTTAGAAAACCTAGGGAGCTTCTGATGACTCAAATTCCCTCTCCAGCTAGTCCCTCCCGCTCCCCATCAAGGCAGGCCTGACTCAATGCTTAAAGGGCAGCGGGAAGAAGGGCAGAAGAGGGGAGGTGACCCAGGGCACCCCAGTCTATTGTCTGGGCCCTGTGATGCATGTTGTTCTGTCCCTTTAGGTAAAAGCTTTCTGTCAGTCTTGTCTGTCCCCCTTACTCTCCTCCCAGAACCAGAGCAGAAATGTCCCTCTACCGCCCGCCTATCTTAAGTGAAGTTCTAAATGACATCAGGTCATTGTTGTCCAGAAACAACCCACGGGCTGCTTTGAGATGTGGGAACTTCCCGTTCAGGTTCCTTGCGGCTCCTTACGTGGACCAAAGTTCAGTCACTCTGCTGGTAGAGGGATGAGCCATGTGGCATAGCGAGGCAGGTGAGCCAGGTAACAGGCTCCTCCTCCCTTTGTATCTCTAGGGCCCAAAGCCAGCCAGGCAGCGACATCAATTTACAAACCTAGCACTTGAGAACATTTGGGGATTCTAGTTGCACAGGAAAATCGCACCAAATGTTCCGCACATTTGTCAACTCTGAAGATCCTCTGTGAGTCCAGGAGAGTCTGTGCTGCGCTACAGCAAGGCAGGGAGTGAGTTCTCAGCCTTGGACTTGCACAGGGAGGTTTGAGAAGACGGGACTAGTCGCCTGATGGCCTCAAGACCCCGAGAGTCCCCTCTGTACACTTAATGACAACGAGCAATGTTGGCCCGCAGCCTCCCTGTGCCACAAGCTTGAGGTGTTAGGTGGCGAGGTGACAGGATAAAAAAGCCTGTAATTGCTGTCCTCATTCACTCGGCAACATGGTAATTACTTAATTGAAAATGAAAGGCCTTGCAGGCAGAGGTGGTAGTAAGTGTTTTCTATTGCACTGTTATCTTTAACATGCCCTTTCCTGTTTCCTGATAATGACAATAATTTGCACTTTCAAGCCTGTCCTCTCTGATTTATTCTTCCCTGCTATTTCATTCATTTCATGACAAACCCACTGGGAAGTCAGAAAAAGATTTTCACGCTTGAGGAAGGCCAGTCTTTAAAAGAGGAAGGCCAGACGAGTCTTCTTCACCCTGGTCAATGTGGCCCGCACTGCTCTATCAAGAACGGAGCCCATGAGTGAGCATTGCTACCCGTTTGTAGTTTGGGCCTCTGGGAACTACCTTGCTCATGAATGGGTTGGTATCAGTCTGGCTGAGCTGAGGCTCTCCTTTGTCTTTAAATGACAGTTGTTGTATTTTCCACATCTAGTAGCAACTCTACTTGGTGACCCTGGGCTGCTGAAATACTGGCTGTCTAATGTACAACAGCTCAGATGTCACACGGCCAGAGGTCACCTTGGTGCCCATTGACTGCTGGGCTGTCTGATGTCAAAGGAGTAAGTCACCCCTTCTTGATTTGAGGCAGCACGGATTCTGCTCTCCTGCCTTCCGCTCCATCTTTGATTGCATGGGAAGAGCAACGTCTTGGCCTTTACTAAACAGACAAACCGAAATGTGGTTGGAGAGTCTGTTCTAGGAACTGCACAGCTGGGCTGTAACCGTATGGGAATTCCAGACCACAGCTCCCGGCAGGACCCCGTTTACCCTCTGTGGGTCACAAGCCATCAAAGCT